ATTCAGAAACATCACGCATTCAGGCCGGCGACATGGGTATGCATGTATGTATGTATATGTGTATATATATGTGTATATATATGTATATATGTATATATGTACGTTGATCCGTCGTTCTCTCCCCGGCCGATTTCGGAATGCGGGCGGCAAATGTAGCGCCGGCCGCCGCGTGGTCGGAAGCCTTGGCTCTGCCCGCGACATCAGGATAATCGTGCATCCTGCCACCAGTGCTCATCTGAATCAAACTCCATGCCGGCGAAGATACCAAGAGCCGAGCCAGCTTCCTAGGGGCCCCTTGTGCGCCGCAGTGGCGGGTGATCCCCCGAATCTGAATCTCAACCATGTTTTGCAACGCCGATGGCCATGTCCCACTGGCCCGCGACGGGGCCCCCAGAGACCGCCCGGAATTCGAATGCGTCGAGAGGCGCGAGGGGCTCATCCGAGAAGTTGAAGTCGCCACCTAGGAACGCATAGATTTTGATGGGGCTCGTTGAGGCCTCCTCCAACCCCCTGGGGATAGACTCTAGGGTGAGGTCGCGCTGAGGAATCGACAGCCCGTATTCCGCCAGAAAGCAAAGCTCGAACATCCAGAGCGCGTCCCTGGACAAGGCCAACGATTTCGATCCTCGGCCCGTCGCTCTCAGCATGCGCGGTATCAGAACCCGGCAGGATGGTGGTGACTCCACCGGCAGCAGACTGGGCGAGCGGCGCGAACGAGTAGAAGGCTTGGATGGGGAAGTGAACGTGGAAAAGGAGATCCCTGAACTCGGAGACGGACCCGCGCGTGTCCTGAACTCTCATGATAGCACCCTTGCCCGGGAGGGATTTGAGGCATCGGATTTGTTCGCCTGGCCATTCCAAGTGCGCAGTAGGAATAGGGCAGGCCGGGAGGAGCGACCCCGCCACGCAGAGAATCGCGGGCTACATACACCACTACGCTGGCTCGACTCTGGGCCAGAGCGCCGTGAGCTTCTCTTTGATCGCACCCGATCCACGCCGAACGCTGCGGCGTTGGCCTCCGCGAGCTCCAGAGCAGGGCCCGCGTCTCCAGCCTGCGGCGTGACTCTGGCCGACGCCTTCCATCCCGAAGAAATCTGGCCACGCTGCTTAGTAATATGGAAGTGTCTGGCTGGATAACGAGACAACATCGCCAATTTGAGCTCGAGAGAGTCTCGCGTCGCGTCTGCATCGGCGATTTGCTACGAGAAACGACTACTTCATGTAATCAAGATGATGTGTCATCTGCATAACAACGCTGCCACTGTCCATTGCTGGTCTTGAACCTGCCGAGGATCTGTGCGATTCTCAATGAAGCGCATGGTTTACGGCCGTTGGCGCTGGGCGCGAATCTCTTGGCAGCTGGGTCTCCCTCCGGCACCACGCCAGCTGGCTGCATATTAGTTTGTTCCAATATGAGCCGACGACCGCCTGCGTAATGTTGTGATTCGGGATGAGATCTTTCGAGCACATGACCAGGATCGTGGGATCCACCCCGCGGTCGGATCCACCCCGCGGTGGGAGGCGGCGATGGTAGTTGCAGAAGGTGTCGGCGTCTCTGAGTGGATACATGTCAATATCTTCTCCAGTTTGCCGGCCTTGCCGTGCAGAACCTGAATGCGCTCCGCAGCGGTGCGCTGGCTCTTCTCGACCAAGGTAAACCTGGTCTCGACCTGGCGGCTGAACTGACTGCAAGACTTGCGGACCGATGAAGCCATCTCGCCAACAGAAGACTGCAATTTTGTGGTGGTGGCCATGGTGGAGCCGCGAGTGTTGCCGACGCAGTGCCGCAAGTCGTGTGTTGTTGTGCTAGGGACATCACCATCACCAGGAGAGCGGCGGCGATCATGTTGACGGTCAGCCACACGGCGGTGGCGGAGCGGGGAGTGCCAGAACCTCCTGGGCCTTCATGGGCGGAACCTCGTGCGCTGCGGCGAAGTCCGTCCTGGGATGGGAACGTGGGCGCATCCCCGAGTGCCTGCAAGAGTGCGTTCTGATCTGCCGAGGAGGTGCCTGCACCATCCATCGTCGCCGTTCTGCGCGGGTAGAGGGCGCCCGAACGAAAGAAACTGGGGGCAGAGCGATGGTTCTCCTGGAAACCGAGATTGTACTCGAAAGAGGGCGTACGGATACGCCAAGCGCTAATCGCTGACCCTCGGTCGTCTAAAGCCCTTAACAACGTTTACAAGTGCGCCAAAATTGCCACGGAAATCAACCTCCTCCTCAGTCTCCTCTTCCGCCTCCTCCTCTTCCTCCGCCTCCTCCTCCTCCTGCTACCCTGGCCGCCCCCCCCCCCCCCCCCACCGACCGCCTCGGGCATGGCAAAACTGTGTGCTGCACATGCCCCCCCCCCGACGTGCAGCAAATCAGCCTCATCATCATCAACATCATCATGGTACTCGTCGTCCTCATCACCACCAGCAACATCATCATCATCATCATCATTATCAACATTCTCATCATCACCATCACCATCACCATACTCATCATCAAGATCGTCATCAACAGCATCATCATCATCAGCACCATCGTCAGCAGCATCATCAGCAACATCATCGTCATCGTCATCGCCATCATCATCATCATCATCATCATCATCATCATCAGCATCATCGTCATCAGTATCACCATCACCATCATCACCATAACCAACCTCATCAGCATCGTCGCCATCGTGGCATCGCCGTCGTCGGCGTCGTCAGCGCCACCATCATCAACATAGGGCTCACAGTGCCCCCCATCATCAGAATCGTCATGAACAAGCATCGATGACCCCAAAAGCGCCCCAAGACGGTCCCCAATTAGCCTCCTTGCGAGATGTCGAGCCAAAGGGGCCAGAATCATAGCCAAGCAACCATCCTCGAACCTTCTTGATTTCTCAAGCTAGCCCTGAAATTGCCCGAAGGGGGCCCCAACAGGCATTTTCAAGGCCGCCAACAAAAACGCCGAGGATGTCCTCGTCCAGCAACATCATCACCATCACCATCACCATCACCAACATCATCACCATCGTCATCATCACAATCAGCATCATCAGCAGCATCATCACCATCAGCAACGTCATCATCATAATCAGTATCATAATCATCATCATCATTATCATCATCAGCAGCAGCACCAGTATCAGCATCGACATCATTGGCATCATCATCACCACCATCATCATCATCAGCATCACCATCATAATCAGAATCAACATCAGCATCATCAGCATCATCAGCATCGCCTCCATCACCACCACCATCATCGTCCTCGTCCTTCTCCTCTTTTCTCCTCCTCCTCCCACCTCCTCAGCCTCCTCCTCTTCCGCCTCCTTCTCCTCATCTTCCTGCTCCCGTTGACTCCTCCTACTCATCCTACTCTTTGTATCTCGTCCTCCTCTTTCTCCTCCTCTTTCTCCTCCTCCACCTCCTCCTCTTTTCCACGCTGGCGTTGTCTTGCATTTGCTGCCCAGAAGTGTCACATCAAATCCTCTGCCTCTTCCCTCTCCTCTTCCTCCTCCTCCGCCTCGGATCGGCGGCACTGGCCAGAGGCCACTATAATACATACATACATACATACATACATACATACATACATACATACATACACACATATATATATATATACATATATACATATATATATATGTATATATACATACATATATATATATATGTATATATGTACTACACAGTTACATCTCTCTCTGTATATATATATATATATACACATCCGCCACATGCCGAGGTCTCCGAAGGTCGATCCCCCAAGCGGTGCTGATGGCTAAACTCCCACCTCTGGGTCTCACCATCGAGGCTCCCCAACCTCCCGTCCACGTCTTGGAACGCGACCAAGGGGGCGCCACAGAAAGGGTCGAGTCCATGTCCCGTCCCTCGGGAAGCCACAAAGTGACGATACCGCTGCTCCCCGGACCCCTCCCGGGGTGATCCCTGACCCAGATTCCGATACGATTCCAGCGGTGGTGGCGAAGGCTTCCCAGGAGGCCCAGAAAGGCTTTTCCGCCCTGAGTCTCATCAGCCTTCCCGAGCAGCGCCCATTGGGCTCGCTGGACCTCCCCGAGAATGCGCCTGGACCAGAGCCTCTGGGCGGACCTGGCCGCTCGGGACGCTCTGGCCTCCCCAGAGCGCCTTCGACGACGTGCAGCCGATGAAGACCACCCTGGGCCAGGAGAAGCTGTCAGACTTCTGCGCGGATTCCTGGGATCGGCGCTGGACCGCCCTCCCTGGCGCTCTGGACGGCGCCAGTGGGGCCCAGCACAAATCCAAGAAACTTCATGCTCACGTCGTTCTTCCTTCTTACATGACCCCTTGGTAACCCAGAATGGGTACGGAACACATGGATACGAAACCTAACAGCGGACTCTTGTTCAAAACCAACAACGGTCGCAATTGGGCAGGCGACTCTTCGTCTCAACTGGACAGCACCCGCAGAGACGCCGACAGCCGGTCTTCGTCCCCATCTTTCTCGAACTCTTTCCGATCGTATCGACGGATTCCATGCGAAGCCCCGCCCTCTCTGGCTACCCCCCCTGGGCGCGCCGTCGAGTCTGGCCTTCGGGTCATAATTCAAGCCTCTGGCGGCCGTTGGAAACGATTTGAGCACCCTCGGAATGCCCTCGGCGAGGCGCAGCAGCGGATGGAACGCATTCCGAGGCTTGACAACCGCACAGAACCGACAGCAACACCTGAAAACGTAGCAATCCTCACGCGCGCTCCCACCCTTTCCATACCCTGGATGGGGAAATACTGGCCCCCCTTTGGGATCCGTGGGGGAGGGGGAGGGGGGGGCACGTGCTGTCGGAAGGGGCGGAATGGGTGTTAGAAGAGGAGGAGGATGACGGGAGGCAGAGGAGGAGATTGGAGGATGAGGAGAAAGGAGGAGAAGGAGGGGGAGGGATGAGGACAACGGGAGGAAGGGGGAGGGGGCGATTATGGCCCCATCCAGAGCACCCATCTCGACCGCACCGAACCCCGAGCCCTTCGGAACAGCCCTGGGGCGACCGCGCGACGGCCGCCTCGAGGGCGCACGGCGGGCCCCCGCAGCCGAGCGCCGCCGCAGCCGGCGGGGCGGCACGAGCGCGCCCAGCCGCGGCGGCTGCCGCCAGGAGGGAGCTGACCTCGACGGCGGCGAGGGCATAACAAAAACCAGAGTTGTTCCCCATATCCAGAGGATGGGGTTCTTGTTATTCCTCCGACCGCGCCGCGACTCACACCTTCTCCCTCCTCCTCCTCCTCCTCCGCCTCACCCAGAGTTACACTCGGATTTTATGGCATGTTATGTCATGATATGTTTCCCCATATCCAAAGGATGACGTTCTTGGCATTCCCCATCTCCAACGGCTGGGGTGTTTGATAGTATTCAGACCGCGCCAACTTCTTCAAACTCATCCTCCTCCTCCTCCTCCTCTTCCTGCTATTCATGTTATGTTATCGTATGATGTGATGTGGTATGGCATGCCATGGTATACCATGTTATGTTATGGTATGACATTGTATGGTATGACATGTTATGTGATGGCATGCCATGCTGTTATCCCATCCCGTATCAGAAGCTGACATCTTATGTTATGGTATGTTAATATGGCATGTCATGGCATGCCATGCTATGCTATGGTACGTGATGCTGCGATGATGGTGGTGCTTTATGATGATGGTTCCGATGATGCTGATGCTGATGCTCCTGCTGCTAATGATGGTGATGGTGATTCAGATGATGATGGTGATGATGATGCTGCTGATGCTGCTGATGATGATGATGATGACGGAGCAAATCCTGGGGATGTCTCGAACGAAGCGCGGGTTTTCAGCACCCGCACTGGGGAGCCGCCATGGGGTATATCATTCCTCTATTCGCGCCAACATGGCGGGGATGTCTCGGACGGGGTGTCTGTGTTGGTTATCAACATCCTCAGTGTTCGGAACAGGTTCTAAGGATGTCTCGAACCAGGCGCTCATGTTCGCCCCCAAGGGGGAGTCGCCAAGGGACATCTCACTCCTCCGCTCGCGCCAACATGGCGGGGATGTCTCGAACGGGGCGCTGTGCTGGTTCCCATCATCATCCGCTTTCGGAGCAGATGTTGAGGATGTCTCGAGCGAGGCGCTCATTTCTTCCCAAGGGGGGCCAGCTGTTGAGGGTGTGTCGAGCGGTTAGCTTATGTTGATGGTCAGGCGCGTGGGCACGGGTCCTCTCCAGGAGGCCACAGGAGGCTCCAGCAGGCTCCAGGAGGCTGCAGGAGGCCACAGAGGGTACCAGGAGGCACCAGGAGGCTCCAGCAGGCCCCAGGAAACCCCCAGAGGGTCCAAGAGGCCCCAGGAGCAGGAGGCATCATAAGGCCACAGGAGTGGCTCCAACCCCATGTGTTTACGTATGCTCCTAGAGATTCGGCCCCACATGGAGCACACATTCTTGGTGTGGTACGCATGCTTCTATAGACGGTCCTTCTCCGATGTATCCAATCCTGAATACTTTACGTATGTTCCTATAGTTTGGGCCTCCCATGCGTGCACGAGTCCTTTGTGTGTTACGTATGTTCCTGTAGATTGCCCTCTTCCTGCGGCCCCACGCCGCAATGTTTTATGTACGTCTGTTCCTATATCTTGGACCTCCCGTGGGGCACGGATCCTCACCAGGAGGCCCCAGGAGGCTCCAGGAGGCTTCAGGAGGCATCAGGAGGCCACAAGAAGCCCCAAGAGTCCCCAGGAGGCCCCAAGAGGCTCCAGGAGGCCCCAGGAAGCCCCAGGAGGCCCCAGGAGGCCCCAGGAGGCCCTAGAAGGCCCCAGGCTCATGCGCAGAGACGCTGTCGTACTACCGAGACGCATTCACATTTTGACTCATCCACAATGAGATTCACTCCCAGACCGTCACTACTCAAGCCCCGTTACATTCAAAACCAACTGCGCCTAGACGCTCACGGCGGACAAGTCCATGCGAACAGATGCGCATATGGGGAACTCCACGCAATGAAAACGTACTCCGGTCGCGCCGGTTCCTTCAGAACCTCCGCGCTCCTCTTCATGGTTTCTTATGGTATAGCATGCAATGTTGTGATATGCCATGTAGTAGTATAATGTGTTATGGTATGCTATGCGATGGTACAGTCCGAGAAGAAATGCTTGGAAATTAATGTTGCGCTCGCCTGGGGGCCACGTTCTTCGAGGCTCGCCATTGAGGTTGGAATGGTACTGAATGCCTTGCGCGAAAGCGCGATGTCAATATTAGTTCAATGCGTGCGGCCGTTTCGGTCCCATTGTGTTGCAAGGCCTTGCGTTGCATCGAAAGTGGTCGCGTTGCAGCGCGTCGCCTTAAGTACGCGCACAGACATACCACCAACCACGCACGCACGCGCACCACAAACCACTACGCACGCACGCAGGCACACATGCACACGCGGTGGAATACGCGCTCTGCGCTCCAAATCCCGCGTGATTGGTTGGTGGCGTGTCTCGTGCGGGCGTCCTCGCATGCTTGCGCGCTCATGTCAGAATGGTGCTCTCCCCTTTGCCAGGAGTTTCGGGCCATCGTGAGACCCTTTGAAACGCGCGAATGTGTTCGGCGCAGAGGGTTTCGTGGCACTGCGAGACCATGTGAGACTTGCGGAAGGGCTCGGCGCCGAGGGTTTCGGAACGATTTGGGAGCCCTGAAAACGAGCGGTTGCGTTCGGCGCTGAGGGTTTTGTGGCGCTGTGGGGCCATGTGAGGCTCGCGGATGTACTCGGCGCCGAGGGTGTCGGGGCGATTTGGAACCCTTCGAGACGCGCCACTGCGTTCGGCGCCAAAGGTTTCGTAGCACTTTGAGACCATGTGAGACTCGCGGATGTGCTCGGCGCCGAGGGTTTCGGGCACTTTGAGACCCTTTTGAAAATCTTTGAGGCCGCTTTGAAGCCACCATCGGGCGCGTCTTGTGTGTGAATGTATACAATGTCGTGCAGATTTTGAGACTCATCCGACACTCGTTCTATATGATACCAAATTAGGAGTCGGACAGTCTCAAGGCGGTTCGAACGCGGACGGGGCCGCCGCCGAGCGGATGGGGCCGCCGCCCAGGAGCGATCCAAGCGGTGCAGAATGTTAGTCAACCTTCTGGCCCACGTCGGCTCGACGTGCGTGCAGGGCAGCATGTGACTGGTGGAGGTTGCCGTTGATATGATGCGTGCTCAAATGCTTCCATGCGAAACAAAGAATTTGTTTCCGACGTACGTCTCCGTCTGTATGACGTGTTGTGATGTGTTATGGTATAGCATGTTCGGATATATCAGGTTATGTCCTTGTATGTGATGTTAAGATATGGCATGCCACGTGACGATATGGCATGGTATTGGTTGTTATGCTCTGCGATGTTACGAAGATGAGGATGGTGATGGCGATGTTGATGGTGGTGATGATGATGATGTTGTTACCCATATCCAGCGAATGGGGTTATTGATGTTACTGTGGCCGCGCGGACATTCCTCCCCTCCCTTCTCCCTCTCTGCACTAGACAATGATGATGATTGTAGTGAGAGCATGATGTGAGTATGATGGTGATGGTGAATGATGGATGATGGTCATGATGATCATGATGATGCTGCTGATGCTGATGCTGATGCTGATGCTGATGCTGCTGCTGCTGCTGCTGCTGCTGCTGCTGCTGCTGCTGATGATGATGATGATGATGATGATGATGATGATGATGATGATGATGATGATGATGATGATGATGATGATGGGGCCGCCAGGGGCATTGCACTCCTCTGTTCGCGCCAAAATGGCGGGGATGTCTCGAGCGGTTTGACTGTTTGCATGCCCAACATCCTCCGCTTTCGGAGCAGATTTGGAGGATGTCTCGAGCGAGGCGCTCAGTTTCGCCCCCCAGGGGGGCCAGATTTTGAGGATGTCTCGATCGTTAGTTTGTCTTGGTGTCCAGACTGCCACAGAGGCCAAGCAGGCTCCAGGAGGCCCCCGGAGGCCACATGAGGTCCCAGGAGGCATCAGGAGGCCACGGGAAGACTCAAAAGGCCACAGGATGTCCCAAGAAGCCCCAGGAGGCCCCAGAAAGCTCCAGGAGGCCTCGGGAAGCCACAGGAGCCCCCAGGAGGCCACAAGAAGCGCCAGGAGGCCCCGGAAGGCAACAGGAGGCCCCAAGAGGCCCAAGGAGCAGGAGGCCTCAGATGGCAACAGGAGTGGCTCCAATCCCATGTGTTTTACGTATGCTACTATAGATTGGACCTCACCAGGAGCACGAATCCTTGATGTGATACGTATATTTCTATAGATTGTCCTTCTCCTGTGTATGCAATCCTAACTGATTTACGTATGTTCCTATAGATTGGGCCTCCCCTGGGGCACGAGCCCTTGGTGTGTTACGTCTGTTCCTGTATATTGCTCTCTGTTCCTGTATATTGCCCTTTTCCTGCGGGTCCAATCCGCAATGTTTCATGTACGCCTGTACCTGTAGATTGGGCCTCTCCTGGGGCACGAATCCTCCCTAGGAGGTCCCAGGAGGCTCCAGGAGGCCCCAGGAAGCCAAGCGAAGCCCCAAGAGGCCCCAGGAGGCCCCGAGAGGCTCCTGGAGGCCCCAGGAAGCCCCAGGAGGTTTCAGGAGGCCCCAGGAGGCCCCAGGCTCATGCGCAGAGACGCTGTCGTACTACTGAGACTCATTCACACTCCAATTCATTCACACTCCAATTCATTGGCAATTAGAGTCATGACCAAACCGTCACAACCCAAGCCCGCTTATATTCGAAAGCTCTTGCGCCTATACCCTCACGGCGGACACGTCCATGCTCATTGATGCACATATGGGGAGCTCCACGCAGTGAATAAGTTGTTGCTGATGATGCTGCTGCTGATGATGCTGATGAATATGATGAATATGATGATGCTGATGCTGATGCTGATGCTGATGAATCTGATGAATCTGATGATGATGATGATGATGATGATGATGATGATGGTGATGATGATGCCGGGACACATTCTGAGGATGTCCCGAGCGAGGCGCTGGTGTTCGCCCCCAAGGGGGGGCCGCCAGGGGGTATTGCACACCTCCGTTCGTGCCAACATGGAGGGAATATCTCGAGCGGGGTGCCGGTTTTGGTTCCCAACATCCTCAGCTGTCGGAGCAGATTTGGAGGACGTC